GGGATCTCCAAACTTTTCAGTCTGAGGTTTGCATCATATATTTTAGAAATATTTACGGACAAAAAAAAAAAAAAAAAAAAAAAAAAAAAAAATCAGTTTCATGAACAAATGAAATTTAAATGAACACATTCCAAGAAATATCTTCATATCAGAAGATCAACCCATCACATCAAAGTGCCCCCCTCCCCCTCGCATCAGAAGCCTCTATTGCATTAGAGTCCCCCTCCCTTCACATCAAAATACTTTGACAAAAAAAGGAGTCTTCTCTTACATCAGGGTCCCCATCAGAATTCTTCCATACAATATAGTGCCCCCTTACATTAGGGTCCCCATCATAGTTCTTCCATACAATATAGTGCCCCCTTACATTAGGGTCCCCATCAGGGTTCCTCCATACAACATAGTGCCCCCTTACATCAGGGTCACCATCAAATTTCCTCCATACATCAGTGTCCCCCTTATATCAGGGTCCCCATCAGAATTCCGCCATACAACATAGTGCCTCCTTACATTAGGTCCCCATCACAGTCCCTCCATACAACATAGTGCCCCCTTACATCAGGGTCCCCATCAGAGTTCCTCCATACAACATAGTGCCCCCTTACATCAGGGTCCCCATCAGAGTTCCGCCATACAACATAGTGCTCCCTTACATCAGAGTCCCCATCAGAGTTCCTCTATACAACATAGTGCCCCTTTCCTCCAGAGTCCCTATCAAGGTCCCTCCATACAACATAGTGCCCCCTTACATCAGGGTCACCATCAAATTTCCTCCATACATCAGTGTCCCCCTTATATCAGGGTCCCCATCAGAGTTCCTCCATACAACATAGCACCCCCTTACATCAAGGTCACCATCCTCCATACAACATAGTGCTCCCTTACATCAGGGTTCTTCCATCAAATTCTTCCATACAACATAGTGCCCCCTTACATTAGGGTCCCCATCAGAGTTCCTCCATACAACATAGTGTCCCCTTATATCAGGGTCCCCATCAGAGTTCTTCCATACAACATAGTGCCCTCTTACATCAGGGTCCCCATCATAGTCCCTCCATACGACATAGTGCTCCCTTACATCAGAGTCCCCATCAGTGTTCCTCCATACAGCATAGTCCCCCCTTACATCAGGGTCCCCATCAGAGTTCTTCCATACAACATAGTGCCCCCTTACATCAGGGTCCCTCCATACAACATAGTGCCCCATTACTACATCTGAGTCCCTCCATACAACATAGTGCCCCCCTACATCTGAGTCCCTCCATACAACATAGTGCCCCTCTACATCTGAGTTCCTCCATACAACATAATGTCCCCCTTTAAATCAGGGTCCGCATCAACATCAGAGACCAACTGATCCGAATACTCAGTTTGTTCACCGAGCCTGGAGGATACACCACCGACCCTAGCTATGGGCCAGATAAAATTTTGGAGACCCCTGGTTTAGTGAATAGGAACAGCAGTCTAGAACTGCTTCACGGACAGCAATATTTCTGTGGGGAACAGGACTGGATTCCCAGCGCAAAGCGCCTACCTTTCTTGGCTCATCATTTTGGGCTTCCAACTAAAGTCAATTTCCTATCCTTCGTATTATACTATATTGTGCATAGTACAGATCTTAATGGAAAAAAAAAAACAAAAACAAAAAAAAGCGAAAAAAAAAAAACGAAAAACACAAAAAGTGAAAAAGAAAAAAACACAAAACAAAAAGCATCGCACAAACAGGAATATCAAGTGAACATATCCTGATATGACTTTTTATACAACAATGTGAACGCGTACAACTATCCATAGCAACACAAAAAGGTACAAACTGCAAATAGAAAACAAGCAGCTGAAAAAACGCAAGCTTGAGATTTGACCTGCAGGTGACGGGGGACAAGGATTGCATGCGAGACTTTGTATTCTTGAAATTCCTTGCACCAGGGAGGACATCGGATAGTCCGGTAAAACTGGCTTTCATTTAAAAAAAAAAAAAAAAAAAAAATAATAATAATAATGACCCCCAAGGGGAAAGAAAAAAAAAAAAAACCTCCTTCCAGGTCTTAAGTGTCAGAAGCCGGATGCGATTTTCTACGCATAAATCTTCAGTTCTCGTTCCACAACGCACATCGCGTGTTGAAGTTACAAATAGCGCCCTGCGTCGCCCTGCAAGGCTCCCTGGTGCCCCATGGCATGGCGTGCTCTGCTAGACATCATGTGTATTGAACAAAAATAAAAAAAATAAATAAATTTTAAATAAAAAAGGGAATTGTTTGACTTTTGCAAATTTTCTTTGTTTATGTCGGACACAGATCATCCCCTGCTGCAGCCTCTCACCTTTTGACTTGCTATAAAAGTTACACTGTACAGTCTCAGAGATCATCGGGGAAGAGGAGATTCCAATCTTCCCTGTGCTGAGTTCCCGGGTCTGTACACCCGCTGTGCCCATTATGAGGGGTTCTCACCATCCCTGTGCTGAGTTCCCGGGTCTGTACACCCGCTGCGCCCATTATGACGGGTTTCCACCATCCCTGTGCTGAGTTCCCGGGTCTGTACACCTGTGCCCATTATGAGGGGTTCCCACCATCCCTGTGCTGAGTTCCCGGGTCTGTACACACACTGTGCCCATTATGAGGGGTTCCCACCCCCTGTGCTGAGTTCCCGGGTCTGTACACCCGCTGTGCCCATTATGAGGGTTTCCCAACCCCCTTGTGCTGAGTTCCCGGGTCTGTACACCCGCTGTGCCCATTATGAGGGGTTCCCACCATCCCTGTGCAGATTCCCAGGTCTGTACACCCGCTGTGCCCATTTTTAGGGGTTCCCACCATCCCTGTGCTGAGTTCCTGGGTCTGTACACCAGCTGTGCCCATTATGAGGGGTTCCCACCATCTATGTGCTGAGTTCCTGGGTCTGTACACCCGCTGTGCCCATTATGAGGGGTTCCCACCATCTATGTGCTGAGTTTTTCCAGGTCTGTACACCCGCTGTGCCCATTATGAGGGGTTCCCACCATCCTATGTGCTGAGTTCCCGGGTCTATATACACCCGCTTTGCCCATTATGAGGGTTTCCCAACCCCCTTGTGCTGAGTTCCCGGGTCTGTACACCCGCTGTTCCCATTATGAGGGCTTCCCACATCTTTGCTCTTAGTTCCCGGGTCTGTACACACACTGTGCCCATTATGAGGGGTTTCCACCATCCCTGTGCTAAGTTCCTGGGTCTGTACACCAGCTGTGCCCTTTATGAGGGCTTCCCACCATCTTTGCGCTTAGTTCCAGGGTCTGTACACACAACGACCATTATGAGGGGTTCCCACCATCCCTGTGCAGAGTTCCCGTCTCTGTACCTATGCATAATTTCGGCCATTCAAGTCTACCCTAGCAGGCAATTACTAGACCATCTGAAATTGGAAGTGCCGTGGACATTATTAAACTCGCTGAGAACCGTAATAAAAACATTATACAATAGAAGAATCCTAAATCTATGGAAGGCCACGTCTGGAGAGCCAAGCTCGTCAAACTGAGAAAATCGCTTGTAAAAATGACTTGTAAAAAGTGTTCCTACAATGATAATCTAGAACTCTAGGGTAGCTGAAAATAAAGATGGGTTCCCTGTAAGGTTCCTGCATTGTTACACCTGTAGGAGGTTCCCGGCAAGGTTCCTGCATTGTTACACCTGTGTTAGGAGGTTCCTGGTTCCACCTGTAGGAGGTTCCCGGCAAGGTTCCTGCATTGTTCCACCTGTAGGAGGTTCCCGGCAAGGTTCCTGCATTGTTCCACCTGTAGGAGGTTCCCGGTAAGGTTCCTGCATTGTTCCACCTGTAGGAGGTTCCGGTAAGGTTCCTGCATTGTTACACCTGTAGGAGGTTCCCGGTAAGGTTCCTGCATTGTTCCACCTGTAGGAGGTTCCCTGTTCCTAGGAGGTTCCCCTGCACTGTTACACACCTGTAGGAGATGTTCCCTGTAAGGTTCCTGCACTGTTACACACCTGTAGGAGGTTCACCGGTAGGAGGTTCCCTAAGGAACTGTTACACCTGTAGGAGGTTCCCTGTAAGGTTCCTGCACTGTTACACCTGTAGGAGGTTCCCTGTAAGGTTCCTGCACTGTTACACCTGTAGGAGGTTCCCTGTAAGGTTCCTGCACTGTTACACCTGTAGGAGGTTCCCTGTAAGGTTCCTGCATTGTTTACACCTGTAGGAGGTTCCCGGTAAGGTTCCTGCATTGTTACACCTGTAGGAGGTTCCCAGTATAGGTTCCTGCATTGTTACACCTGTAGGAGGCCATTAGACGTCTATTGACTTTTCCCCATCTCATGACCTCAGGGATGGGAAGAACTTGCTTTACCTGGCTGCCCCTCCCACCAACTCAAGAGAACTGGAATGGAATTATGCGGGCCCTGCAGCACCAGAGGTGATAAAGCAGAACTTTCACTAGAAGCTCCTGGCCAAGTCCCCAGTGTTTGTGGAGCTTTGTTTGCACACCCAGCTGATCTGGAGAAGATTCAAGAGATGATGTCACACCTAAAGAAAGGCCAGTAAGGGAAACCTGGAGATGACCAAAAATGGAGGTGTGGCATCAACCCATCCTACAGGAGGACCTTCTGCCAAAATTGTTTTAGGGAAGGGTAAAAGCCTCTGTTGGGTTTTCATTGCAAAGCTACATCAGTTTACTTTGAATTTATGAATTGCCTTAAAGCCATCTATATCTGCCCAACTTTAGAGGCTTCCATAGCTTAGAGCAGGACCATACTTGGAGGAACCTAGGCCGTGCTACATCCGAGTCTTCAGCTTTTCACCTACATAGTCAAGCCAATGGTTCGGTTTCTCATTGCTAGCTACCAGAAGCAAGTACTATTTCTCCATTTCCTTTTTTTTGTCTGATTTTCACCTTGAAGGAAACTGGTGTCACTGGGCCAAAAAAAAAAAAAGGGGAGGGAGGAAATTCTATCTGCTCTCACTGTACTAAACAAGTGTTTTTGTTGTTATTGCCCCCCAAAGTAGAGCTCTCCCACTACCTCGTGTCTATGATATCCTGTCACCAAGACAGGAAGTTGAGGAAACCTCGCCAAGGGGGACACAGATGGCAAAAAAAAACCTGGCTGAGGTTCCAAGCAGGGGCGGACTGACCATTTGGAAACTCGGGCACTGCCCGAGGGCCCGGGGTCAGTAGGGGGCCCCATGAGATGCCCCTGGTACCTTTTTCATAGGCTTTTTTGAGTTTTGGCAAGGACACAGGGGCCCCATGATCCCCTATTGCCCAGGGCCCCATGAGTTGTCAGTCCGCCCCTGGTTCCAAGCCTTCCACATTCCAATAAAAATAAAAACTGGCTGGATTTCTACTTTTTAGTAGGATCTTTAGGACAATCTTTGGATGTTATATGAACATTAGGGTCTTCCAGGCGTTCAGATGGACTCTATGGACACAGGAGGTCGCACGTTGACACCTTCAGCTTTAACATGCACCCTCCTGGAAGAACCAGCAGCATTAACATGGCTCAACATAGAAGAACCAATAGAAATTGGATCAGGTATTTCAACCAATATGATCTCGGTTTTCCTCAACTGACGCTCAACCGACGCTTGACCCCCAATCCCATATCACAAAATGTTCATGCTATGAACGCAGGAGAGAGCATATTGACACCTGTAGTTTGGACTCGGTTTGGAAGAACCGATTGAGATCAGATTAGTTGAAACGCATGATCCAGTCACGGTTTTTCTCACCTGGCACCCAACAGACATGAACTTTCCACCCAATCCTATATCAGACAACATTCCTCTTCACATTTATGCTATGGACACAGGATGGCGCATGTTGATGCTGGCCCAAACCTGGATTGGATCAGGCATTTCAACTATTCTGATCCCAGTTTCCCTCAACTGGCACCCGTGTAGGCAGGTGCAGTCTGTCTTCTCCTGTGGCGGACTGACCATTTGGGAACTCAGGCACTGCCCGAGGGCCCGGGGTCAGTAGGGGGCCCCATGAGATGCCCCTGGTACCTTTCATAGGCTTTTTTGGGTGTGGTTTGAGTGTGGGTGAGGACACAGGGGCCCCATGATCCCCTTATTGCCTGGGGGCCCCATGAGTTGTCAGTCCGCCCCTAGTCTTCTCTACTGTAGGTGGACCAGAGCTGGAGAGGAAGTCAAGAGGAAACGGGTTTCCTCGGTTCCCTGAAGAAGTGTTCCGATTGGCTACGCTGCATCCAGGTGACCCTGGTGGCCATTTTGAGTCAAGTAAAGTCATTTTAATTCCCTGCCCCCAGGTTTTGGCATGCAATTGTGAAGTGGCTAGTGTAAGGAGAACTCACCTCTCTGTTAGGACAGTACTAGTGTTAGGGAAAGATTCCAGAAGAGTACAAAAAGAGCAGGACTTACATCTACTCTTGGGTTAGACCAATCACACAGCACTCCACCTCCCTTGGCAAGCGCTCTTCAGCTTGGACCTACCACCGCTGACTCTCCATTGCATTGACAGAGTTCCCAGACGGGCGTCCCCACCTCACTGGCTGTTGTACTGTTCTACTAGTTCCTCAATACATTGCTATTTGCGCATCCAGGGCCTCAGTGTTATTACCAGGGGCGGACTGACCATTTGGAAACTCGGGCACTGCCCGAGGGCCCGGGGTCAGTAGAGGGCCCCATGAGATGCCCCTGGTACCTTTTTAATAGGCTTTTTTGAGTTTGGGCAAGGACACAGGGGCCCCATGATCCCCTATTGCCCGGGGGCCCCATGAGTTGTCAGTCCCCCCCTGCACACAGCACTCTACCTACCTTGGCAAGCGCTCTCTTCAGCTTGGGCCTACTACTGCTGACTCTCCGTTGCATTGACGGAGTTCCCAGACGGACGTCCCACCTCACTGGGCTGTTGTACTGTCCTACTAGTTCCTCAAAACATTGCTTTCTGCACATCCTGGGCCTCAGTGTCATTACTGCACCAACCTAACACCCACAGACATGAACTTGCCACCCAATGTTCATCTCACATCTGGGTTCAACTTGACACCTCCAGCGCTGGCTCAACATGGAGGAGCCGATAGGAACTGATCAAGCATGTCAACAAATTTCATCTTGGATGTCTTCATCTGGCAACCATAACCATGAGATTAAATATCCATTGTCATAACCACGAGCTTATCGACCAATCCCGTATCAGACAATGCTCGTTCGTATCACATCTGCGCCCAACTTTGTCCTACAGAAGACCTTCAACTTAAGTTCCTAAACCACGGAGGGCCGCAGGTGGCCCAAACCACCGCCACCCCCCCCAGACTTTGACATGCCTGCTCCAACAGGCCTCCTGAGATCAGACAACACGGCCTTTTCCCTTTCAGCTAGCTTTACAAGTCACTTCTTTAAAATCGGCTCAGCTTGCACTTCAGATCAAATCGTCCCTTTAAATCATTGTCCTATCTAATTAAATCCAAAGTAACCGCACAAACCGTGTCACGATGCGCAAGCTCCCCTCTGGCAGCAGCAGACCGAACACGACTTCCAAGTCCTGACTTTTTTTTTTTTTTGCTCTCCTTTTTTTTTTTAAAGCCCTCAGCAAAAATTTCCCATGATGAAAGCGAAAGAATTACAGAGACCCTTTAATTATGAAGATGGGTTTTGTTTTCTGATTCAAGCCTGACACACGCTGAAAAGTATGTAACCCTTTAATTCCCGGGACTCGCAGGGACGTTACGGCAAAAAGGACGGCCATCGCAGAGGTTTGCTCTCTTCTGCGGGGCGCACGCTTTCGCACTCAAAGTAATGGAATTAACCGCCCTCCGCTCCAGCTGGGTAGGCCTGAAAAGGCTGCGGCCAAACAGCTATACTGCTTTGTAAAAATCGGCGAACGGCAGGAGACAGGGACTCTTAGGTCTCCAACAGAGGCACTTGATTTGAAGCCGCATTGTCGGCTGTAAACAGAGTGCCAGTCGCCTTGCGAAACGCAAAAGAACGGGGGCTTGTAAAGCGTCTCGCATGGCGGAGCTCGGTAGGGGAAAGGCTGCATCTCTTTTCAGAGGGGCTTTCTAATTGTGGCTGGCATTAAAAACGGAGCTGAATGGAAAAATAAAACACCGGCTGAGCTGGTCAACAGCGGCGGCGGCCACCCAGCGTGCCTCTTTCACTGCCGGGTAAATAATTCTTACAAATGTATTAGGATCAGGCACAAAGCAACAAAAACAGTTATATTTTATAGCCTCATTGATGATGTATTCCGGAATTTGTATTGAACGACTATTAAATGACTCCATTGGAGGATAAAAATTGCTGAGGAGTCGATGGCGTGCATCTGATATTAGACTGCGAGAGGATATTAGACCTGATGTTGAACCGCGGGCTGCACCTGAAAGTTACATTAAAGCCTAAAAACTCTCAATAGGAGTCACCAAGACAAGATGGGAAAATAAAAATAAAAAATTTGTAGGGGTTCAACAGAACAGGATGAGTGTAAAAATCTTCATAGGGGACAATTTTGAGATTAATTTCGAGAGGAAAAAACGTGATTTAAACTATTGCGTACTCTATCCTAAAAGAAAGAAAGAAAAACAAAAAACCTAAACAAAAACAACATACACCACACATTTTGGGTTTAGATATATAAATTAATAAACCTCTGAAACAATAAAGGCCAAACATGGACATACTTCACCCAAGAGTTGAGAAACAAAAATGGTAGGCCTACTGCTCTAGGTAGGGAGTGTGTGTGGGGGGGGGGGGGGTAAGGATACCAGCGGGAAAAGACTTTCGTCCCACTGGCAAAACAACTCTCAAGAGATCGTGACTTTGGAGGAGAAATTTTAGGTACACATGATGAACAAAGGAATTATAGACCATTGCTACCAGGAACTACAAAAATTCCCCTCAATTACCTCCAATGCATTTTGCCACAACAGTTTAAAATTTCACAAAAGGTGATTTTGGTTTTTATTTAAAATGTTAGTATCAGTTACTGAAATGTTTATTGGGTAACATCAGATACAGCCAACACATTTTGGGAGAACAGGCCTCCCACAACCTCAGCCATTGAGGAGATGTCCTAAAGCAGTGGTTGCCACCCTCAGCCCTTAAGTAGAAGAAGACTTTAGCAATGGTTGCCACTCTCAGCCCTTAAGTAGATGACTTGAGCAATGGTTGCCACTCTCTGCCCTTAAATAGATTACTTGATCAGGGGTTGCCATCCTCAGCCCTTAAGTAAATGACTTGAGCAGTGGTTGCCACCTTCATCCCTTAAGTAGAAGACTTGAGCATTGGTTGCCACCCTCAGCCCTTAAGTATAGCACTTTAGCCATGGTTGCCACCTTCAGCCCTTAAATAGATGACTTGAGCAGTGGTTGCCACCCTAAGCCCTTACATAGATGGCTTGAGCAGTGGTTGCCACCCTCACCCCTTAAGTAAATGACTTGAGCAGTGGTTGCCACCTTCAGCCCCTAAGTAAATGACTTGAGCAGTGGTTGCCACCTTCAGCCCCTAAGTAAATGACTTGAGCAGTGGTTGCCACCTTCAGCCCCTAAGTAAATGACTTGAGCAGTGGTTGCCACCTTCAGCCCCTAAGCAGATGACTTGAGCAGTGGTTGCCACCTTCAGCCCTTAAGTAGATTACTTGATCAGGGGTTGCCATCCTCAGCCCTTAAGTAAATGACTTGAGCAGTGGTTGCAACCTTCATCCCTTAAGTAGAAGACTTGAGCATTGGTTGCCACCCTCAGCCCTTAAGTATAGGACTTTAGCCATGGTTGCCACCTTCAGCCCTTAAATAGATGACTTGAGCAGTGGTTGCCACCCTAAGCCCTTACATAGATGGCTTGAGCAGTGGTTGCCACCCTCACCCCTTAAGTAAATGACTTGAGCAGTGGTTGCCACCTTCAGCCCCTAAGTAGATGACTTGATCAGGGGTTGCCATCCTCAGCCCTTAAGTAGATGACTTGAGCAGAGGTTGCCACCTTCAGCCCTTAAGCAGAAGGCTCAACAAGGGCTGAGGATGGCAACCACTGAAGTAGAAGACTCGACCAGTGGTTGCCATCCTCAGCCCTTAAGTAGAAAGACTCAACCAGTGGTTGCCATCCTCAGCCCTTGAAGAACTAAAGGCAACACTTTTTTCCATTTTAAAGGGTAAGGGAGAGTTATAACCCCTGACAGTTTTTTTGCCATCTATACCTCACTGTAAAGACTTCCCCCTCACTTCCTGTCCCATAGTCAAAGACAAGAAGTGAGAGGAAATCCCTTCAAATTAAGGGAATCCCTTGTTGTACCAGCTCCACTGAAACATTGCTCCACTGAAACATTTCCCCTCTATTACTGTTCTGGAGACAATCAAACATTTGGAGTTTTCTTTTACTTTCACTTTCAGTAGACATGACAAATAAAAGGAGGGTGAATATCCCTAATGGGGGCACAGACAGCAATATAAATCTCACAGGTGTTCTAATACCCCTCCACTTTATCCAAAACTTTTAAAAAAAAAAAGTACACCCAACAGGTAATGTTTGGGGAACTTCTCTTAGATAAATTAGCTGTCAAATGCCAAGCCATTGACATCAATTGAAAGCATCTCTGGAAGGTGAATGATATTCTGAAAACATTACCTGTTTGGGGCACTTAAGGACTGAAGTTAGGAGCCACTGCTCTGAAGGACCTAAATTAAGGCTTGGTAGAGATTACCATCTCCAAACAGCATTGAAAGCCAGACCTCTTATCCTTGTCACTGAAACAATTGATGAAGCCTTTCCTTTCCCAAGGGAGACAATGGGTGACCAGGTATCACTTGTTTCCTACAAATCTACAAGATCTAGTCTGGTGGAGGTGGGGGGACTCGAGGAAAAATAGACATCTACAGGTTGACTGGGGCATCTACTCAAGCGCTGAGGTTGGCAACCACTGCTTGATAGCAGAAAACTGCAACATCTGCCTCTAATAGGACCATGGACTATGCACCGCCATTGTCCTTCTCTTTGTGACCAGCTTCTAATAATCATTTCATCCAATCAGGGGAAAAAACGTCTCCCTTGCCCTGCCCCTGAGCAACCTCCAAAATTTCAAAATGTATAATTTCTCTTAAAATATTCAATGACGTTTAACCTTTACCGAGTCCTACAAAAGATTCTACATATAGCCAGACCTGGTGGAAGTTCTCATCCCAACAAAGACAATGGGTGACCACGTATCACTTGTTTCTGACAAATCTACAAGATCTAGTGGTGGAGGGGGGAGAAATGTGGTGGGACTCAAGGAAAAATGGACATCTACAGGTTGACTAGGACATCTACTCAAGCGCTGAGGTTGGCAGCCACTGCTTGACAGCAGAAAACTGCAACGTCTGCCTCTAATAGGACCATGGACCACTCTGCACCGCCATTGTCCTTTTCTTTGGATCATAATTATTATTAGAAGCTGGTCACAAAGAGAAGGACAATGGCGGTGCAGAGTGGTCCATGGGCCTATTAGGAGGCAGACGTTGCAGTTTTCTGCTGTCAAGCAGTGGTTGCCAACCTCAGCGCTCGAGTAGATGCCCTAGTCAACCTGTAGATGTCCAGTTTTTCCCTCATGTCCCACCACATTTTTCCCCCCTCCGCCACACTAGATCTTGTAGATTCCTCAGAAACAATTGATACCTGGTCACCCATTGTCTCCGTTGGGATGAGAACTTCCCCCAGATCCGGCTATATGTGGAATCTTTTGTAGGACTCGGAAAAGGTTAAACGTCATTGAATTTTTTAAGAGAAATTATACATTTTGAAATTTTGGAGGT